AATAAACACATTCCCCAGCCTGGATCCTTCTAGCCCGCTCAGATGGTGAGAGGTGGGCCCTTCCCACTTGCATGGGCTCATCTTCGGGGGGTGAAACCGAGAAAGGAGTCGGAAAGGATCTGGAGATTGGGGCAGTGGCAGTGCCAATTCGGGGATCAAGTGAGGAGTAGCTGGGATTGGGGTGACGGCTATTCCTATCCCTGCGTCTCTCTCTGAGGCGATTATCAATCTTGATAGCTGTGGCAATTAAATTATCCAAGCTAACTGGATCATCCCTAGCAGCTAGCTCGTCTTTAATTGCTTCGTTCAGCCCTTGAAGAAAAACATCTTGCAATGACTCGTTATTCCAGCCTGAGTCAGCAGCAACTGTTCTAAACTCAACTGAAAATTCGGCTACACTACGGGAGCCCTGCCGGAGAGAAAGAAGGCGCCTAGAAGCGTCCCTCCCCCGTACCGGGTGATCAAAAACTTTTTTCATTTCGGAAATGAAAGTATCAAATGATGAGCAAATGTGTGGCTGGCTCTCCCTAACGGCTGTAGCCCAATCTAGAGCACTCCCCCTCAACAGACTCATTACATATGCTACCCTAGCCCCATCTGTGTGATAAGTACTAGGCTGCTGCTCAAAGACTAACGAACACTGGAACAAAAAGGCTCTACAAATACCCAAATCTCCAGCGTATCGCTCCGGTGTAGGAATAACAGCCTCTCGTAGCTGATGGAGAGGTGCGGCAGGAGCGGGGGGAGGAGCTGTCGGCTGTGCAGCGGGCTGCGGGGGAGAAAACTGGGAGGTGAGCAGTTCCACTTGTGTGCCGATCCTTTGCACGTTAGTGGAGAGGTTCCGGAGAGTCTCCACAACCTCACGGAGAACCACGTCGTGATGCCCCACGAGAGCACCTTGATTGGCCAGGGCTTGGCTGAGTTCGTCCGCAGTCTTGGACTGGTGGCCTGTGTCCGCTGAGTCCATACTGGCCAGATCGTTCTGTTACGATATCCGATAGGACCCAAACGCAGGACACGGCAGAGTGTTGGAAAAAGGTTTATTGTGAGGTGGAGGAGCGTGGAGAGTAATCCGGTTGGAATGATGACTGGTGGCGGCAGGTGATGGTAACAAGGCGGCTGGATAGTGATCCTGGAGCATAAGAGAAACAGATGAGAAAAGTATTCCGTGTACAGAGAAATAGTTTTAAATCGGCTAAGAAGGCTGAGAGTTACCACTGGGGTTTAAACAACGATCTGGCGCTGACATGTTGTGGAGCCTCCGCTGATATACCATTAGTAAATGGCTGAATGGGAATCAGGTGTGTAAAGCTGATTGCACCAGGTGGAGATTTGCAGCAGGTGGAGATTGAGCCGGGAGCCAGGAGTGACAGCCACCACGCCCACACAGACAGGGAAAGGGAACACACACTCACAAGGGAGGTGGCTGAAGAGTAGAGCCACCACAAATCTAATGTGTCTGTGTCCCTTTGAAATGATTTCTGATAATCCATAAGCATTAACCTGTTTCACGCCTTCCCCCCGGTACCGGGCGGATAAACGCGTCATTTGCAGGAAACAACGTCTAAGGAATCTTAATATTGAATAAAACTATGAATGTGTTATATCCATGTAACGGGAAGAAACTCAGCTAACTGATCTTTTTAATTTTTTTTTTCAAAAAAAACCCACAATGCTAGCACTCAGCCTCTGAATTAGCCTCGATCGAAAAAACGGGACCGACAAAGGCACATAAACTCACTCAGAACTCCCTTATTACTTATCCTAGATGCACAACCAAACACTATTTTTTGGTGTCCTGGAGACACTGAATCTAACGGTGCCCACCTCAACACTCAGTGATAAACATTCGCGACGCTATCAACGAAAGCGTACATCATCACATGTGGAGCCAAGAAGCTAAACATGTAAATATGACTTACCTTGGTCAAAAGTGGTCTTCAATGGCATTAAAACGATAAAAAAACGATGCTGCAGTTAATCCATAGGTTCATCCTATGTGTCTGTGCCTTCTTTGAAATTATTTCTGATAATCCATAAGCAATACAACTGCGTTTTAGTTTCCAAACTCCAGAAGGAGACATTCCTCCAGTTTAGTTTCGCTTTCCACACGCGAAGCGGCAACATTTTTTCTTTACAATGTGTGTCTATGTAAGTCTCCTCCTTCGATTCTATTGGCTCTAACGGTCACAAGGGTATGTCAACCAACCAGATCGAGCAAGGGGGGCCAGAGATAGGTCAAATCCACCCAAATGACCCCAGATGGCCCAGTTTTTGGCTAAATCTCTCTAAAAAGGTCAAATTTCACTTGTTTTGCATCAATCTTGATACAGGGTACTTATTATATGTTGTACTTTGGATTCCTAAAGCTTTTAGTCTACTAACCCATCATCCAAGGGTAGTTTTCACTATCTGTAAAAAATAATTTTTGGACGGACACTATAATTTACAGTTTTTTACTATGTAAAATCTGAATTTTCTTTAAAATAAAAAACATTTATATTGATTCTGACACTTCTACATCCAACTCACAGGTTTATCATTACTTTGAGAAAAGATTATTAATTTAACCCTTTTAGAAGGGAAGATATGGTCATTTGTTCTGGGAATGTCATTTTCGAGTCTGAGACCTGAAAAACAGGCTCAGAGTGGAACAGGTTAAAACTGCTTTTCCGTTTCCAGATGTCAAAGCTAGCTATAGGTTCACTCTGATGCAAAATTACATGCGCGAAGCCCCCACCCTTTCTCTTCACAACGTGTGTGTGTGCGGGACTCCCCCTTCGATTCTATTGGCTCTAACGGTCAGAAAGAGGTGTCAACCATCAAAATCGAGCAATGGGGGCCAGAGATATGGAAAATCCACCCAAATGACCCCAGAAGTGGTTTCTTTTTGCTAAATCTCTCTAAAAAGGTAAAATGTCACTTGTTTTGCATCAATCTTGATGCAGGGTACTTATTATATGTTGTACTTTGGATTCCTAAAGCTTTTAGTCTACTAACCCATCATCCAAGGGTGGTTTTCACTATAAGTAAAAAAGAATTTTTGGACGGACACTATAATTTACTGTTTTTTACTATGTAAAATCTGAATTTTCTTTAAAATAAAAAACATTTATATTGATTCTGACTTTTCTACATCCAACTCACAGGTTTATCATTACTTTGAGAAAAAAGATTATTAATTTAACCCTTTTAGAAGGGAAGATATGGTCATTTGTTCTGGGAATGTCATTTTCGAGCCTGAGACCTGAAAAACAGGCTCAGGGCTTAAATGATTATTAAAGTCTACAGCATAAAATACATCAGTAAATACAAGTCTTCTGAACTTTTAAGAAGTTACGTATCTTAAAAAAGGTAGTCGCTAACAAAGCGCTAACTGAGACTCATTAAACGGCAGCATGCTGAAGTCTGCCTTTAGCAGTTACATGAGCTTGGTGTATTTTGTGTAAAGATGTAAATAGTGGTTTTCTAGTCTTTCTAGACATGTTGACTGCTGGGCACGAAAACCACCAACCTCTGGTCAGAGGACGACCACTCTACCTCCTGAGCCACAGCCGCCTCTTTATAGCGTTAGCGCTTAACTGCTGACTATTATATGTATACATTTTTAAAGTTATGATTATTTTTGAAGATTTTCTTGCTGAACAAAATTCTTAAGTTCCATACTTTTTTTTGCCAGAGAACTTTTTCTCTGCCATAGTTCAAAATCCCATTTGATTCTGGTAGAGGCAACTATTGCTATCTTCCAGCGCACAAAGACACATATCTGAATCATTCAATTGCTGGGCTACTTTTATGTACTCACTAGTACCTTAGTGGGAGCAGTATCTCAAAATAGGATGCAAGTCTATTTTCGACGCGACACGAGGCGTTGCAGAGGTGCCGGGCAGGAAGTGGAACGGTCAGAGCATCCGGCCCATCCCCCAATTAAACTAATTTTGCAGACCCTATCCCTCCGTTGTCTTTCAAGTAGGAGGAGAAATGCCAGCGTTCTCCTCCGGTTTACAGGCACTGTGTAAATTATATATATAGAATAATTATGATGATGAATGCATTTTTTTACCACTAAAATACAGCAACACATCTTTGATTCATGTCGGCACGCAAGACGCTCCGCTTCTGAAATGCTTCTGAAACAAGCCCGGTAGGGTATGACGCCGGAGGACGCCGGACCAAAACCGCGGCGCAGCCGTGACGCGACGCAGACCGACCCGGTGGAATCGAGGGGTAAGGGTTAGAGTGACATCCACTGGCTGTTTAATTAAAGTGACCAAAGAAACTGCTGAGTAACATAACATTCTTCACAATTAATAAAACATTTTTTAAATGTACTAACGTAGGATAACGTTACTGCACGTTTTTTATTGTTCAAGACACAGGTAGATTAATTATGCATGCTTAGAAAATGTAAAATGTTAACATTCAGTTACCTTAACAATAGCAAAAAGCCCCTGTAATTTGTAAGGATCAATGTCTTACCTAAGTTACATTTCTATATATTGCCTAAAATGTCTCTTTACACATCCTTTATACATTTAGATTAAAATAACAGTGACAAAAGAAAAGCTACCAAAGCGAAGTGGCTAAGATAATTCCATTTCCTATTACAAATGTGAGATTTACAGTTTGTTGCTTATCTATTTTACTTTTTACTATTTGTACTGTTGTGTACACACATATATCCTACATTCATTAGTTCGTTTTTCTTACTCTGAGAACATAATGTTCTTTAACTGGATATACTTTGTCTCTGGCAGCACAATGTAACCCTGTTAACAGCTAACCTGGTTTGGAAAATGTGCTAAAATGACTTTGGTAAGTTGAGAAGAATGAGATGATATGCTTCACAAGTGAGACAGGAAGTGCACTTTTGAATCTTGATTCTCTGATAGCCAATCAGATACATGGTACACTCTGACACACACAATCATGGTCATGTGACTTCAACATTTGTACTCACTGAAATACCCAAAAGTCTCCTAACAAGAGACAATATCAAGATGTTGCTGTTATGGATAACACTGCTTTTTCTTCATCAAGGATGTAAGAGCAAGTATTCAGTAAAAATGTGCATGCCTACTATTGGGGTTAACTTTTGTGTTCTTGCATGATGTATGTACTGTTTCACGTGTTGTATTCTGTCATTTATTTCAGATACGCTGGTTCCAGTGACTACAGTTCCTCTTGGTGAATCTGTGACCTTCACGTGTGCTCTGCCTACTATTGAGTTTAGCAGTAGAAAGCTCTACTGGTTCAAGCAAAATGCTGGAGAGACTCTGACATTAATTGTGACACTGCTCGGATCTACAAAACCTGAGTTTGCAACAAAGTTTAATGACTCAAGATTGGAGGTAAAAAGCGATAACAATTTAAGCAACCTGACAATTCGGAGGACAAACCCAGAAGATGAAGGAATGTATCACTGCTTAATCACAGAGTCTTTTGGAAATCCTGAATGGAGTGGAACATATTTGTTACTAAAAGGTAAATGTGATCTACTTCATTAGAATGAGTTTTGTAAATGCTTCAGGTCGGATCCAAAGCTACACTTTGGTAATGTTTAAGTAAAGTAACATTTCAATGATCTGTTGCATTTTAACACACATTTAAATACAAATTCAGTTAGACATACAATTAAGATGAAATTATTTTATTTATTTTCAGATATTTGTATTTACTTTGGATGTTGATTTATTTACCAGCTATGTTATATATCTTTGAGAACATTGCAGTGTTAACCACTCAACACTAAAAGTGCTGCCAATTCTGCCATGCACTATATCTTTAAATATATGGTTAAAACTTGGTAATTACGTTATATGCTCTGCTTTATCTTTATTGAAGCTCTAATCGATATTTAAACAATCTAATTTCACTTTGAGGAAATCTCTACTAATAAAGCAGCTCCACATTTGCTAAATATCAGCAGATTCATGTTAATACTTTTACAAATGTCAGATGAAATGGGATCCATTTTTTTAAACAGTTTTGTATTTTTCAGGAAACACTCGGAGGACTTCAAACTATTCTGTTCAGTGGCCGACATTATCTGATCCAGCTCCTCCAGGAAACTCGATGACCCTTCAGTGTTCGGTCCTCTCTAAATCTGAGAATAAAACATGTCCAGGAGACCTCAGTGTGTTCTGGTTCAGAGCTGGTTCAGATAAATCTCGTCCTAGCATCATCTACACTGATGGAAGGGGACAAGAAGAATGTGAGAAGTTACCGGACACTCAGAAGAGTTGCTTCTCAAAGAACTTCAGCTCCTCTGATGCCGGGACTTACTACTGTGCTGTGGCCACATGTGGAGAGATATTATTTGGAGATGTAACAAAACTGAAAATTGGTATGTTATTCCGATGTATTTTGTTTAATATGGACGTTAATGTCTATGAACCAATGAACCACATCATTAATGTGTTTAATGTTTTTGCTGTCTAGAGCGAAATGCAAGCTCTGAAGTTATAGCGCTGGCGATAGCAATACTCTGCTTGGCCGTTTCTATCATTGGAAACATTACTTTATTCTGCCGCTGGACTTCAAGAGCAGGTTGTTCACGATGTAAAGGTACGTTTTGTTGATTTAGTCAAAAATGTAATTTAATACGCCGATTATTTTATTATTATATGAATTTATCAGCAAACATCTGCAGCACGATTCTCCATATTGGTTGCTCCATTTATGTTAAATATGCTTAACCCCCATAATGCAATGTAGATAATATGAAGTTATGCCATTTGATGGGGATCTTTATTGAAAACTCAGTTTAAATTCATAATATTAATGTTTTCTTTTCATATTTAGGAAATGAAAACGTCGCTTTGCATTCGAGACATGACAACTCAAGCCAACCTGTGCATGATATTGTAAGTAATCATACGACATTCTTTCTTTTTTGGTTATTTTGATTAACATAATTCTCATCATACATGGCTTCTTACTAAAGAGGTAAATCCTTTGACAATTAATATTGGTTTAACATCATTTTAAAAAGCTAGTCAACTTGCTGTGTTTGGATATCAGGACTGTGTCTATGGCAACAGATTTTTACTCTTAGCAGCAGTCCGCTACAAATAAATAATAGACCATTATAATTCTGTAATCAAACAATCATTATCAACAAAGCTGTCTTTTAATAATGGAGATTGTATTTGCTGCACAGACTGAAGGTGGACATGATCTGAACTATTCTGCGTTGCATTTCTCTGGAAGGAAGGCTACAAGAGGAGGGAAGAAGAGAGAGATGGAGACTGAAGAAAGTGTGTACTCTCAAGTTAAATGCTGAATGTGAATGTGAGTCTATTAAAAATGTAAATTGGTTGATAATACTGACCTCTGACAAAGATTTACACTAAATTAGGATTAATGCTAAAAGCCAAAATAGCAGCAAACAGATATTCTCTTTTATTCGATGTTCCACCAATATTTGATTCCATGTGTTTGTATGTGTCGTCTTTTATCTTAAAATACTAACTAAGTGTGTTTTTCATTAAAGAAAATGTTAAAAATCATGGGGGGAATGATTTTGTTATGATTTATTTAGGGCCATCAGACATAACCGTTTCAAGATGTTCTCCTCTGCCATTTTGTATACATTATGAATGTTCAAATCTGTTTACTTCTTCCATGACCGTCATCTACTTACTGTCTCGGCCAATGCTCTGTAAAAACATCTAACCGCAATTGGGAGTTGTGTTGATTTCTTGCTTCCTTTTTTAAATGATTTTTTTATAATACTAAGCTGAAGAAACCTAATCCGTCTTTGTCTTTCTTTTGGCATATTTAACCCATTTCGACATTTCAACATTTCATAACTGTTTTACCTCATACCAAGGGACTTGTTAATGATGTGATTTTTGGAGTTTCAAAACTACATTGATCAGAATTTAATAGCAGAGAGTACTTAAGTGCTATGTCTTTATTTGCGTACTTCTGTAATTAAATCTGCTATTTTGAGTGCTTGAGTGTCCAAATGCCAAAAATGGCAAGATGCAGTATAAAGTACACAAATGGTGCACTCATGAAGGTCATAAAGTTAAGTGTAAAACACTCCCCCTCACTGATCACCATCTTGGCTGTAATTGCTCTGGTGAACACAGCACTACACATATAAGTTATGCATGATTTTTACCCCAACTATTAAATAAACCTACCACTTTAATGGTGTTGTAGAGAAGTCACCTTTCATTTTAATCCCCCCGTCGTGTTCGGGTAAAATCTGACCGATTTACTACTTTTATCTTTCATAAATATTGTGTTTTAGATTGTATTGCTTCAAAGCCTAATGATATACTCCACAGTGGACATTTGAACATATAACATTTGCTGATCACCACTTTCATTGAGTTGTTTGTGTTTTAGTCAACTTTGCTACACCTATGATGTTCAAAAGAAATGAGCAAAATAGGAGATTATTTGGTAAACCTAGATCTGGGGTGTCAAACTCAAGGCTAGAATCCGGCCTGCGACCTCATTTTATGTGGCCCGCAAGAGCTTGCAAAGAAGTGTCTCGACTAAAGAAATGTTGACACTTTGACATGTTGACCACTGGGCTTATAACCACCATCATCTGATTGGTGGACAATCCTGAGCCGCCCTATTTATGGCCTCATGTAAGCATCTAACTTCTGCTATTTACCACAAAGATGTTTTTTCTGCTATAATCCAAAATCCCATTTGGTTTTGGTCAAGGGAACTACTACAATGCTAACTTCAAGGTTTGGCCGTCAAAGACACATCATCCATGGATCACTCTATTGACAGGCAACTTTTTTGCTACGTCCGGCAATGGCTCAGTCAGTAGGACTGGGAGCTGTAGGGTCGCCGGTTCAAGTCCCCGATCAGACCTAAATATGGAGTGTGGACTGTTACTTGGAGAGGTCCCAGTCCACCTCCTGGGCCCTGCCGTGGTGCCCTTGAGCAAGGCACCGGACATCCCCCTTCACCCCTCACTCCCATTTTCAATAACGAGTAGTTTTGCACGGTGAGCCAATGATTTATTAGCTAGAAGCCCTTCTAATGCGTAAGGATCGATACCACTTAAACGTTTGCAATATATCGCCCTTTGCCGCCCTAGCTTCTCTATACATTTGCATTTATTTATTATTCCACAAACCTTTTACATTTATGATGAGGAATGACGGATGAAAAGAGCTGCTATAGCCACGTATGGTTCTCTGGAAAAAAAGGCTGCTCCGCCCCAGGATGCTCCAGATTCCCATCTGGACTAAGCTAGCTTTTGCCTAAACAACATTTCAAGTAAACAGAATTATCTGTAAACTTTTCTTACTTGAGTGCGTCATTATGAGATTAGTTTTTAATGACTCTTATGGCGCATTTCCACTACACGGTCGGCCTCGGCCACACTCGGTACGGCTCGGTACGGCTTGGCCGCGTTGGGCCTTAACAGGGCCGACTCACTTCATGCTGCGCTTCCATTACAGTTTAGGAACTGGGGTAGTTACTATAGTAACGCAGTGTAGGCGGAGCCGTGACGTCATCTTCAATGAGAAATCCAGAAACACAACACAGCAGTTAGCTGTTAGCACTCAGAGCTCACAGCTCCTTATATATGTTCAGAAACTCGACAAAAGTTAAACAAGTACAAACCACAGACTGCCTGTGTCATGGTGAATACAGTCGCTGCTTTATTTATGTCTGTATAGGCCGTTGTTGTGAGTGTGGACGGTCGGGGCATATACTGCGTTAGCTTAGCCAATCTCCATCTAGAAAAACACGAATTTTAAAAGGTTTTTCGCCTGCCGTCTGTCTGCAGACTTGACAAAGCATTAATTCATGGTTTTTACTAACCGGTATCAGTATGTTGTTACTTCGGCATCATTTTGAAACGTGTATTACAATTAAATCACGGTCAAATATGTCCATCTTGTTGTAGTTCTAGCCCTCTTGCCAGCGCTCCTCTCTCTAGTTTAGCATACTCAGCCCGACTCAGCCCTGTTTGTTGGCCCCGATAGAACCACAATTTTCTAGGGCCAGAAAAGAGGTGAAAAAGTGGCCCCGCGCCGTGCCGCGCCGGTAATTGGCCTAGTGGAAGCACAACCAAAAAAGGGGACGGCACGCTTAAAGCGAGCTCCGCACTGCAGTGGAACTGCGCCATTATAACATCTTTTACTGGTGATACTTGTGTCTGGTGTCTTCACTGGAAGCACAGTTTAGCTAATTTGACAGCTAGCCTAGGCTTTTGTTAATCCATTTTCCTTATAACTAAGACTAGTCTAGCACTTGTTTATGGAGCCTCATCATTTACTCATTCATACTCACCGTCATTGATTTTGTCGTCCAAAGCTGTCTTTACAGTTTACAAAGAAAACTTTTATTGGAAGATTTGCTTAAATAACTTGAGAAGAATGAAGTGATATGCTTCAAACAGATCAGAATGGGACCACCAAGACAGGAAGTGCACTTACCTAAATTATATTTCCATATATTGCCCCATTTGCCTCTATCTAAAATGTCTCTTTACACATCCTTTATACATTTAGATTAAAAAACAGTGACAAAAGAAAAGCTACCAAAGCGAAGTATCTACTGTAAGAGAATTCCATTTCCTATTACAATAGTGAGATTTACAGTTTGTTGCTAAACACGCTAGCAATAATAGTAGCAAGCTGTCTCTTGCTAAAACAACACTCAAGAGAAACTTTGAATTACCTTATCTATTTTACTCTTTACTATTTTACTTTGTCTCTGGCAGCACAATGTAATCCTGTTAACAGCTTTCTCAGTAAATTGAGAAAAATTAGATCATATGCTTCACAATAAGTGAGACAGGAAGTGCACTTTTCAATCTTGATTCTATGACAGCCAATCAGATGCATGGTACACTCTGACACACACAATCATGATCATGTGACTTCAACATTTGTACTCACTGAAATACCCCAAAGTTTCCTAACAAGAGACAATATCAAGATGTTGCTGTTATGGGTAACACTGCTTTTTCTTCATCAAGGATGTAAGAGCAAGTATTCAGTAAAAATGTGCATGCCCACTATAGGGGTTAACTTTTGTGTTCTTGCATGATGTATGTACTGTTTCACGTGTTGTATTCTGTCATTTATTTCAGATACGCTGGTTCCAGTGACTACAGTTCCTCTTGGTGAATCTGTGACCTTCAAGTGTGCTCTGCCTTATACTGTGTTTATCAATAGACAGATCTACTGGTTCAAGCAAAATGCTGGAGAGACTCTGACATTAATTGTGACACTGCTCGGATCTACAAAACCTGAGTTTGCACCAGAGTTTTCTTACTCAAGATTGGAGGTAAAAAGCTATAACAATTTAAGCACCCTGACGATTCGGAGGACAATCCCAGAAGATGAAGGAATGTATCACTGCTTAATCACAGTGCGTTATAGCAATCCTGAATGGAGTGGGAAATATTTGTTACTAAAAGGTAAATTTGATCTACTTCATTAGAATTCGTTTTTTAAATGCTTCATGTCGGATCCAAAGCTGCACTTTGGTCATGTTTAAGTAAAGTATCATTTAAATTATCTGTTGGATATTAATACAAATTTAAATACAAATTCAGTTAGACATACAATTAAGATTAAATTATTCTATTTGTTTTCAGATAAATGGTAAAGTATATTCATTTCAATGACTTAATTTGCTACATTGTAAAATCCTTAAAAGCGATTACTTTATTCTTAATTTTTTCCATCACACAGATCATAAAGACCTGAAGAAATCTATCTACGTGAAGCAAAGTCCGGAGACTGAGTCAGTCCAGCCCGGCGACTCAGTGACTCTCCAGTGTTCACTCCTCTCCAAAAACAAAGAAAACGCGGATCAGTGTCAAGGCGAACACAATGTGTACTGGTTCAGGTCTGGATCAGGAGAATCCCATCCAAGCATCATTTACACTCCCAGTGAGGAACAAAAGGAACGCAGTTGTGTCTTCAGTCTGTCCAAAACTATACACAACTCCTCTGATACCGGGACGTATTACTGTGCTGTGGCTACATGTGGACAGATCCTGTTTGGAGAAGGAACTACAGTGGAGACAAGTACGTTTTGAAGTGTTGTTTCAATTATATTTATATGTTAATGTATATTAATATTAAGTCTTTACATTTGTTTGTTCAGGGGGGTGACCAAGAGTGGGAGCTACAACTACATTTAACAATTATTTAATTGAGACATTGATTCGAACTCCTTTCAACGTATAATGTAAACATATTGAATGTCACAGTCTGCTTTCTCACTCACCTATTTTCTGCATTAACATTCCTTAGTCACCTGGTAGCCACACCCTGTCTCTCTTTCACTCTGTTACACCCATCAGCTCCAGTAGGATATAGGCCCACTTCACTCTCACCTCAGTGCCAGATCGTACTTTGCAGCATGCCAGTCTTTCCAGCATTACTTCCCAGATTGCTCTCCCGGTTCCGACCCTGCCTGTCCCTGACCTGCCTGCCTCGCCTGATTCCTGACCCTGCCTGTACCCGGACTATTCTGCCACGCCTGCTCCCTGACCCGGTCTGTACCTGCGACTCCCGTCTTGCCTTCTCCTGGAACCCTCGCCTGTCCCCGACCAGCCCTTTGCCTACTACCTGCCTTTTCGTCTCCTACCAGTTATTGCCTTCAATAAAGCTGGTTACAGACTATCCCTGGTTTCCCCGTGTTTTGCATTTTGGTCCTCAGCTCGTTTGTGACAGAACGATCTGGCCAGAAATGGACCAAGCAAACACCGGGTCTCCTAGAGACCGCTTTGAGAGGGTTGAGGAAGCCATCCAAAGACAGGAGGTCACGATAGCTACCTTAGCTACCGAGACCCACCAGGCAACCTCAACCCAGGAACAAGCGCTGGCTTACCTGGCCTCCCAGATGCAACAGATGGCCGCCACCGTACAACAGCTAGCCGCTAGCATGGCTGCTACCGTCCCTCCGCCTGCAGCTCCGATGTTCACTCCAGCCTCTGGATCGACTGGATACGCTCCGGAGCCTCGTGTGGGAACTCCGGAACGCTACGCTGGTGAGCCTGAGGGATGCAGTCCTTTTCTCACAAACTGTTCCATATTGTTTTCACTGCAGCCACACACCTTTGCCTCCGAGGCGGCTCGCGTAGCTTTCACCGTTAATCATTTGACGGGGAAAGCCCGCTTATGGGGTACTGCAGAGTGGGAGCAGCAGACTCCAGCCTGCGCCTCTTTTGCTGTTTTTTCCGCGGAGATGCGGAAGGTGTTCGGTTCCGTTCGTCTGGGTCCCGATGCTGCCGGAGGTCTGCTGAGCTTGAGCCAGGGTTCCGGCACGGTGGTGAATTACGCTATTGACTTCCGCACCAGCAGCCGCCGTAGTAGCTGGAACGAGCCGGCGCAAAGTGACGCATATCTGAGAGGCTTAGCGGATTATATGAGAGATGAGCTGGTTTCCTATGATCTCCCTGCTTCCTTGGATGGGTTGATCGAGCTCACCTCTCGGATCGACAGACGAATTCAGACACGAAGAGAAGAGCAACAGACACGAGCGGCGGGCCGCCGCTCGCGACAACAACTTCCGGTTTCCGGGAGATTTCAACTTCCGGTTTCGGCGGAGAATTCCCATCCCTACTCTGACTCACGGTACGGGGAGGTCGAGCCCATGCAAGTGGGTCGTACCAGTCTTAGCTCTGAGGAGAGGGAGTTACGTCGAAGAGGGAATTTATGCCTTTACTGTGGTCAGGCTGGACATTTTGTTTCCCGTTGTCCGGGAAAAGGCAGAGCCCATCAGTAATGGGGAGTATACTGGTGGGCCGAACCTCTGAGCTGATCCCCAATGGAAGACCTTTGTGCCATGCTCGACTTCTCCTGAGAGGCACATCTCAGGCTCTGGCTGTGTTTATCGACTCCGGATCAGATGTCAGCATCATTGATGAGGAGCTCGCACTACAGCTGGGCATTCAACAGATTCAGTTGCCCCAGCCGGTACCGGCTAATGCTTTGGACGGTCACCTGCTGGGAACGGTGACTCACCAGACGACACCGGTCCATATGCTCATGTCGGGGAACCACCATGAGACAATCCAGTTTCATGTGCTACGGTCCCCCAAGATTCCTCTGATTTTGGGTTATCCATGGCTCCTCCGCCACAACCCGAACATTGACTGGTCAACTGGGTCCATCCTAGGGTGGAGTTCTTCCTGTCATCAGGTTTGCCTCAAGCAGGCCGCTGCACCTCAACTATCTGTGGATATTAACCTGGTTCCGGATGTCACAGGGGTTCCGGCGGAGTATTTGGACTTTAAGGAGGTTTTTAGCAAGACTAAGGCAACATCTCTCCCACCTCATCGGCCCTATGACTGTGCTATTGAGCTACATCCGGGCGCAGTCCCACCCAAGGGGCGGTTGTACTCACTTTCGGCACCGGAGAGGAAGTCCATGGAGACGTACGTCAATGACTCTCTGGCTGCGGGAATTATTCGTCCTTCCACGTCACCCGCAGGAGCAGGGTTTTTTTTTTTGTGGCGAAGAAGGATAAGACCCTGAGACCCTGCATTGACTATCGGGGTCTGAATGACGTCACGGTAAAGAATCGTTATCCCCTGCCACTCATCTCGTCAGCATTCGAGTTACTACAGGGAGCAACAATCTTTACCAAGCTGGATTTACGAAACGCATATCACCTGGTACGAATCCGTGAGGGGGATGAATGGAAGACCGCCTTCAACACCTCTTCAGGACACTACGAGTACCTGGTGATGCCATTTGGACTTACCAACGCCCCTGCAGTTTTCCAAGCGTTGGTGAACGACGTACTCCGGGACATGTTGGATCGTTATGTTTTTGTTTATTTGGACGACATTTTGATTTTTTCAAAGACCCTCAAGGAACACATCCATCACGTCCAGACAGTCCTCCAGAGACTTCTGGAGAACTCGCTGTTTGTCAAGACGGAGAAGTGCGAGTTTCACACTTCTTCGGTCGCCTTTCTTGGCTACATCGTGGGTCAAGGAAGTGTGGAGATGGATCCCTCCAAAGTTTCAGCGGTTACCTCGTGGCGGGTTCCTGATTCCCGGAAGGAGCTGCAGCGTTTCCTAGGATTCGCTAACTTTTACAGACGGTTCATCCGTGGCTACAGTACCGTGGCCGCCCCGCTCACCGCCCTGACCTCGTCTAAGGTAACGTTTAGATGGTCCCATGCAGCAGAGGAGGCTTTTCAGGACCTCAAGCGCCGGTTTACGTCGGCTCCTATCCTACAGGTACCAGACCCTGCTGGTCAGTTGGTGGTGGAGGTGGATGCTTCTGACGTAGGGGTGGGGGCCATCCTGTCACAACGCTCTGGTGAGAATCAGAAGCTCCACCCCTGTGCTTTCTTTTCGAGGAGATTGAGTCCGGCGGAGAGAAACTACGACGTGGGGAACCGGGAGCTTCTAGCAGTCAAGTTGGCGTTGGAGGAGTGGCGACACTGGCTTGAGGGGACAGAACTGCCATTTCATAAGAACCTGGAATACATCAGGTCGGCACAAAGACTGAATTCCCGGCAAGCCAGGTGGTCGTTATTTTTCACCCGGTTTAATTTTTTCCTCTCCTACCGCCCGGGCTCCCGCAACGTGAAGGCCGACGCTTTGTCCCGGCAGTTCGGGAGGGAGGGAGACACCTGCGGTATCCCGGACACTATTCTTCCTGCTCCTCGAGTGATCGGTGTTCTCGCTTGGGAGATTGAGGAGAGGGTTAAGACTGCGTTGGTGGACCAACCCGGTCCTAGTTCTTGTCCTCTTAACCGTTTGTTTGTGCCTCAGGTTTTGAGGGCTGAGGTGCTTCAGTGGGCTCACAGCTCCAGACTTTCCTGCCACCCTGGGATTCAACGTACCAGAGGGATGGTCTTGCAGCGGTTCTGGTGGGCTACGCTGGAGGCTGACACCCGGGAGTTTGTGAACGCCTGTCCTGTGTGCAATCGGCACAAACCCTCTCACCAAGCGCCAGCTGGCCTCCTTCATCCATTACCGGTTCCACGTCGCCCATGGTCACATATTTCGTTGGACTTTGTGACTGGTCTTCCACCGTCCCACGGACATACTGCCTTCTTGACGGTGGTGGATCGGTTCAGTAAAATGGCTCACTTCGTACCCCTGCCTAAGATCCCGTCAGCTAAGGAGACGGCTGAACTTATGCTTCTCCACGTTTTTCGCCTTCACGGACTGGCGACTGATGTGGTTTCCGACCGGGGGCCCCAGTTCACCTCTGTGTTTTGGAGGGAGTTTTGTGAACTGATCGGGGCGACGGTCAGTCTCACCTCCGGTTTCCATCCACAGGCCAATGGTCAGACTGAAAGGAAGAATCAGGAGATGGAGACCACTCTCCGCTGCATGGCTTCCGATCATCCTACGACCTGGTCTAAACAACTCCTGTGGGTGGAGTATGCCCACAACACACTCATCAGTTCCGCTACTGGTCTTTCCCCTTTTCAGTGTGCATACGGGTTTCAACCCCCTTTGTTCTCTGCATTGGAGAAAGACTGTCCGTCTGTCCAGGCCTTCATCAGACGTTGTCGGAGGACTTGGAGGCGGGCTCGAACTACTCTGCTTCAGTCTGCTAACCGGTACGCCACATCAGCGAACCGCCGACGCACCAAGGCACCTGTGTACCAGCTAGGCCAGAGGGTGTGGCTTTCCACTCAAAACATTCCCCTTCGGGTGGAGTCTAAAAAGTTAGCGCCCAGATTTATTGGACCCTTTGAGATCGTCAAGGTCATTAACCCTGCAGCAGTTCGACTGAGTTTGCCCCGGAACATGAAGATCCATCCCACCTTCCACGTGTCTAGGATTAAACCTGTCCGGGAGAGTCCTATGATTCCCGCCGCTCCCCCACCACCACCCCCTAGGATGATCGATGGGGGTCCGACCTATACCCTTCGTCGTATACTTCGTTCCCGACGCAGAGGAAGAGGGGTTCAGTATTTGGTGGACTGGGAGGGCTATGGTCCTGAGGAGAGGCAGTGGATTCCTGCTCGTCACATCCTCAACCCTCAACTCATCCGGGACTTCCACCTGCGCTACCCGGAGCAGCCTTCTAGGACCCACGCTCAGCCAGGCGTTAAGCCGGGGGGTACTCGTCGGTTACGGACCGGGGGCTTCATCGAGGAGGAGGGGGAGGCGTCTTCAGTCGAGGAGGACGAGGATTTCCAGGAGGGGGAGGCCGAGAGAGCATTCTCAGATGAGTATTAACCTTTCCCATACCCCCACCTTCCACCCGGTGTCTGTAGGTTTTTTGTTGATTTTTTATTTATTTGTTTTTTTCCCCGTAGGTTTGTCTTGGACGTCGGGAGCCGTCCATTAAGGGGGGGGTTCTGTCACAGTCTGCTTTCTCACTCACCTATTTTCTGCATTAACATTCCTTAGTCACCTGGTAGCCACACCCTGTCTCTCTTTCACTCTGTTACACCCATCAGCTCCAGTAGGATATAGGCCCACTTCACTCTCACCTCAGTGCCAGATCGTACTTTGCAGCATGCCAGTCTTTCCAGCATTACTTCCCAGATTGCTCTCCCGGTTCCGACCCTGCCTGTCCCTGACCTGCCTGCCTCGCCTGATTCCTGACCCTGCCTGTACCCGGACTATTCTGCCACGCCTGCTCCCTGACCCGGTCTGTACCTGCGACTCCCGTCTTGCCTTCTCCTGGAACCCTCGCCTGTCCCCGACCAGCCCTTTGCCTACTACCTGCCTTTTCGTCTCCTACCAGTTATTGCCTTCAATAAAGCTGGTTACAGACTATCCCTGGTTTCCCCGTGTTTTGCATTTTGGTCCTCAGCTCGTTTGTGACATTGAAAGTTATTCAATCATAATAATTACTTCAGAATGTTTTATTTCCTGCCTGTTACTGTGGCTTACTACTGTGCTGTGGTCACATGTGGAGAAATGTTAATTGAAAATGAAACAAAAATGAACATTTAAGGTGAAAGTATCGTTATCTGTTTTAACCAGTTTTCTCCCTTTTATGGCTGCTTTTGAGGTCAGGAAAAAATAAATTAACAGTGACAGAGTAATTATTAGATACAAGACTGTTTTTGTCAATGTACCATCCCATCTTTTAAAATTATTCTAGTCAATATCTGTTGATATTTGATTGTAGGAATAAAATGAACATGTGCGGGTTCAAACATCGATTGCTGTATATATCATAGGTTAGGTTATGAGCAATCCAAGTGGTTTAACGCACGTTTGTTTCAGTGTTTGATAGGGACGTTTGCATATAACGTGTTGATTAGACGTCAAATTCAAATTACATTTAAATCAAATCTAGAGCGATTGTAAGGAAAATAATGACAGTAAATTAAAATCTTCTTTGGTGGTGGTACATTTTATTTTACTCTAACTAAATGTTACTGCATTTTCCTTTTCATGTTTCAGGAACCGGCTTACGGTCTTTTGGTGATTTACAGACTGGCGATGTATTTCTGCTTCTGCCGTCTGTGGTCTCGGCCATTAGTGTGATTGTTATAGCCATCCTTATTCACGCCATCAAGAGAAACAAGTGTGATTATTGCCATAATAAAGGTAATAGACGTTACCTCACTGAATAACAGATTATTTAGATGATACTAATATCATTGTTTTTACAAACTAGGTCTTCCTTATTTGTTTTTATCTTGTTTACATATTGTAGCTGCTGTGTCCCTGCATGAAAATGTTGCAAAAAGGAATGTAAAGGTAAGATCAACATTGCAAAAGGCTTATGATGCAACTCGATCAGGTTTGTCATCACAAATAATTTGTAATATATTTCCTTAGAGAAATGAAGACCCGTGGATTTATTCTGCTGTCGTCTTTACCGTGATGGAAACTGGCCCCGGGGGCTACACGGCTGCCAAGGCTTTTTGATCTGAGTCAAATGTGGAGTCAGCGATTCTCAAGAAAGATTGTTGATATTTGATCTTAAAACAAATACCCCCTTCGTATTTACCCTGCCTCTTGCTCCCACTGCCTTTCTCTTTACACATCCATGGCCCTCCTTTCCCCTGTCCTCTGCAGAGACATAAACGCCCTGATGCTGATTGGCTGGATCAAACCAGCTCTCCTTTTAGCATAGACACATATTGCAGTCAGCTAGCGGAGTGTAAGTAGATATTTGCTAGTAGTATATTGGATTTAAATCTTAGACGGCACCTTTTAACTGAACTGTATTAGATGTCTTTGTACCAAATGTGATATAATGTTAATGTGTTTAAGTTTAAAGCTGTTATAACATGTTGGGATTAGCTTGCATTATTCATACAATGTTAGTTTGATGTTTTTTTTTCTTATTATGCTTAAGTGATATTGAATGAGTTTAAATAAAAAATACATTTAGTTCCATTTCTGTATGTTGAACTTTTTTGCCATCTACTGTATACTGTCGTCACACTGATTCTATGCCGCCATACACCCTTTGGCTTTATCAACTTGGTAGAACAAAGCAGGAAGACTCTATTTCCTCTATTTATAATCTATTTTCTGCTCATCTCCGTACCATACACCAGGGGGCATTAAAAGGTCTTGTTTTTTTGTCTTTTAAAGCAAATTTAGCTTCATTACTGTTTTTTTGGTGAAAAGCAGTCATTTGGATTGTTTTCTGTTTTCATGTTTCTTCTTCTTCTGTTATTACAAAACTAGTACAATTACAGCAAACATATTTATTTTTCTTAAAATATGTGTGCCATATATCTAAATGTACATACAACAATCATTTTTTGAAAATGATATGTAGTTCATGCAAAGTTCAACCCGTTTTATCCGTCAAAGAACTAAAAGTAACCAGTCATTTTTGTCAATAAATCAATATTAGCAAACCTTTTTACTTTCATATATTCTACACAGTAATGTTCCAAACTGTTCCCAGTCACTGCATTTGCTGCTGGGTGATGATTATTCAGGGTACACATTTTCAATCATTTCCATCTACAAGAACAATGCACAGTAATACAATTAATGGCTTATCTTAGATGCAGCCTTGGTTTTTTGATGAACATTGGTTACCCACATATTCTCTCCGGGTGTTTGAAAAGTTTATTACATTACATGTTACTTGTTACTTGTTAGACGCTTTTATCCAAAGCGACTTACATACTCAATACTGTGGACAATCCCCACAGGAGCAATTTGGAGTGAAGTGTCTTGCCCAGGGACACAACGACATGCTGACTGCAGTGGGGTTTGAACCTGTGACCCCCTGATCCGAACACCAAGGCTCTATCAACTTGAGCCATTCTCAGTCGCCTCCTCATGCCTCTGCAACAAGCAGTGTTCTTTCGTGCTTTTCACATCAACAACTAGCTCTTTGAAAGCAAAATATAAAGCAAAGTAATTAACAGCACAACATTTGTTAAAAACATGCAAAGCTGAGCTAAGCCAAAGCTCATACGGGCGCGTGGTGCTGTGTGTGGTTTGCTCTCACAGCGGAGTACACACACTCCTGTGGTAACTCTTGCTTTTGCTTCACTTTTTTCACTTTTCTTGTGGAGTAATTCAGTGCTGCATAGTTTACCGCCTCTTCGTCTCCATCCTGCAAATCATATAGTCTATTAAACATACATTCCTTAAATATTAGGCCTGTAAAATGAAAAACACTTCATCCAAACCAAGTCTAGTGTTTGAATGTTTTAGTCTAAAGTCAGAAAAATGTACAAGGATGCTTTTTGCCTCCATATTCGGTGCTTATTTTCAAAGTTACAAACATATTTACCAGGTCAGTTGATTCATCCACTGCCACCTCGTTGGTTTTAGGATTACGGATGGTACACGTTGCTACTGCAGAAAAAGTTAAATAATGTTAGATGGGGTTGAATTGTTCGAGCTCGGCCGGAGCACACACACACACCCGCAGCCTGGCTGTGGGTCTGTGTGTGTGCTCGGATCGGGCCCGGGTCGGGCCTCGCCGTGTCGGGCCTCGCCGTGTCCCGCTATCTCAGGCTGAGTCCAGGCTGAGAAATCCGCAGAGCTGCAGCTGAGAAAAATAAGGCTGGCTGAGTGTGTGTGTGTGAGGAGCTCCGCGGACCAATTGGTCCATTTGGATCGTCGTTACGTCAATTGGTTCCCGGAAGAAAAAAATGGAAAAAGAAAATCTCCAACGAGGCGTTCTGGGGCAGCATAGACACGTCTTTTCTGTGTTAGAGTTTTACTCACTACAGGGTGTACTTTGAGGGTGTGTGCTTTGCAGACCGTTTACATGCATAAAAATCTACGGGGAACGGGTAATAACCGGAAAAGCATGACATGGGACCTTTAACAGAAATGTGTTTCCCCATGTTCACCTCCGGCATATTTAACAGTACAGTAGTTTGAAGTGCTCATATTCGACTCTGGAATACATATCATATATATCCAATGTCAGACATGTATTTTTTTGCCAACCCTACATCTAAAAGCTTTTGCAATAGTCTTATATTAAATAACATGTTGCCTTACAACATGAAGTCCAAAGTTTCATCATTTGTGGAGTTTTGACTTTCTCCTCCATTCAGAAAGCCTTTTTATCAGGTTAATGTTTTATTCCCAAAAGGCAGACGTTAAAGTTGTTTGGTGGCCCCGTCCATTGCTAAAAGGCATCGACATAAAGTACATGTGAAAGACTATAAACAAACACACAAGGGCCACTTAAGGGTAGTAACTTCATAAAACTAAAGAATTTGAACCACAACAGCACTCAATGAATGTATAGGACCAGATCATGTCTCATGCAACTTGTAATGTATTTGACCTGCTCTTATCACAGAGTAAGAAACTACTCCCGTGCAGCAGTAGGGAAAGCAGCGGACAAAAGGTTTTTGGTCTAATGACTTAAACAAATGTCTGTGAATGAAAAGGAGAAGAAAACCTCTTCTGTTATGACTTTGTCTTGGTTATTAACAGTATCAAAGGCCATTTAGAACTTGAATTGTACAGTATGTGTCTGTAATCAATGGAAACATTGAATTTCAATGTTCTCGTAAGAGACTTAGTACTATGAACCAGGGTTTCTGTTAGCCGGTAATTACCGGTTTTTAGCTGGTAAAATGTAATAAAAACCGGTAAATTCAAAACCTGCCGGTCAAAATGTCCGGTAATAATTAGGGATGCTCCTATCGATTGGCCGCCGATCATTATCGGCCGATATTCACTCTTAATAGTTTGATCTGTGCTCTCTATAAAGGCCGATCAGGAGAGCTGGATCTGATCGATATGGACATAAACGCGAGTGAAGTGTAACCGGACGCGAGAGAGAGATCAGATCAGCTGCTGCATAATCACCTGAAGCCCCGCCCACTGTTTAGCGTGTCAGGAGAGAGAGGGAGAGAGGAAAAGAGAGGATCCGTTTCTCCCGTGTTATTATTAAAAGTGAATGTAACTTTTGAATAATGTACTTCATCTACTACAGTAGTTTGTTTGAATGTAATAATGATGTTGTTTGTTGTTTGTGGAATCATTTATTGAAAAATGAACTTTTCGATCTGTTAAGATCAGGGGCGTCGCCTGGACCTGAAAACATTCGGGGCTTAGCCCACAGTGGCGGCGGCACTACGGTGGCATTTTTTACTGCAACACTCCCCACACGCACACACACAATACACCCGCGACTGTTACAATGAAGGCTCGATAATCAGCTCACGGCATATAGGCAGGGGTAAAGTGGTTTTTTTATGAGTGGGGGGCGGACCTCACCTCCTCTAGGGGGGTCCGGGGGGATGCTCCCCCGGGAAGATTTTTTTTTTAATATTGAAGTTAAATGCATCAATCTGGTGCACTTTGAGAGCAAAATTAAGAGATGTATGGATACCTCTCTCAACACCCATATGAAGCGGAACTGTAAACAGATGTACTTTTTCTTTATGGATATTTTACTAATCACTCCCCTTTTAAACTCTATTCTTGTTTTACTGCCATATAGTATTTCATAACTGTTTTTCCTTTATTCTCTTATTTGTTTTATAACTATAATGATCATATGAAGGTGTGCCGCGGAAATAATCTTTTGAATAATTTGTGACCAAACCGTTTGAGACCCACTGAGATAACTTAGACTAAAGTTAACTATCTAAACACTCAGAGAGTCCTTTAGCTCACCTGAGTCTCTCAGTCTGAGAGGAGAGGACTCTCCTCCAGCTTGTTGTGGAACAAACAGCTCCTTATGTCCGTTAGTGCAGCTAGCTAACCAGATGCTAACAACACGGTCCCTGCTGGCACCGGTCCCTCCCTCCCTCCCCCTCTCTCTATCACACTAAATGCGCTATTGCCACACACACACAGAGCCGAGCTTGAATGACACAAGCACACGTTTATTTCCATGCAACTCTCTGATTGGTCTGGTGTCATGCCTCGGTTGCATTCACTGAACACGGGAAATTACAGTGCTGCCGTCCTCTCGTGTCATGATGAGGTTCACGTAAAGCACGGTTAATGTATTATATTATTGAGGGAGAATTGTCCGGGGCTACAGAAAAAAGATTCGGGGCGAAAGCCCCGGATGCCCAGGCCAGGCGACGCCACTGGTTAAGATTATAAACTGAAGCAATATAAAAATGAATCCCATTAACTGAGTTTTAAACATCAGCATATCCGGTCATAGTCTGGTAATTACCTGCTAACGGAAACTCTGCTACACAATTCTTATTATTATTATTGAAACATGACCGGTAAGTTTCAAATTCAAAATAAATTCTGTCCGGACATTTGACCGGCGAGAAAAAATCCTAGCGGAAACCCTGCTATGAACGAAGCGCAGAGCAGATTGTCTCTTGCAATCGTTACTGAAAGTTACGTGGTTTAATATAAAATACATCAAACGAGAAAGTCCAATAAGGGTGGGACGGTTGTTGGATCGCTCAAAATAAGCACAGGACTTTGACGTAGGAGACCTCTTTTTGTTTCCTAAGTGAAACCAAAACCCAACATTCACTTTATGAATGTTACAAAAGGAAGTCCGCTACGGGCTGTTGCTGTTGATTAATGCTAGTTGCGCGAATTACGTTGTTTTGGCTGTTATGTTATATTGCCACGTTATGATTTTAACACAAATCTTTATTTGTATTCTAACCATAAATATATATCAATCATCAGTTAAAAGATAACTATCCTTCAACTGGATGACAGATTTGTTGCCCTGAGTCCCTCACCGCAGACTTGGATGAAGCACAAAATCCATGCATTGTTTATCTAAGGAGGCTAACCCGTAATTCACAGGCATACTGTGTATGTTGTAGTAGTTGAGTGAAGATACAGTCAATCAATATTAGGGGACACTATAAATATCAAGTTTTATTATGTCAACAAAAAAACAGAAGCAAACAGTTCCACAGACATGTCGACCTAGATGACACCTTACAGTAATGCTGGCACACTTCCTGTATCAACACATTCAGAAAGCAACACGAATCTCTGACTATAGAGAGGGGTGTGGCTGGTTGTAGTGATCTGATCTAACAACAGAGTACATACAATCTTTTGGCATTTCTCTCTCCTTTCTCCTTCCTCTTTTCACTTTCCTTGTTGAGAAATCCACTGATGCATAAGTCACTGCCTTCGCTTCTTCATCCTGCAAAATTAAAAACAAAATGTGCGTCAATGACAAACCTTTTGTCGATTAGGTGACATTAACATATAGACCATATCTAGAGTATAGACTGCTTTCCAGTGATCTTTACACACTTTCTTTTGTCTAATTTTCAGCCATCATTAATTATATTTATACCTTATACCTTATACCTAACTTTGTCACTCTTTATCAGGCTACATTACATTTAGCTACTTATCAGTTGGTTTATTATACTGTTGTTTTGATTATAATCTGTGTCTTGATCAAATAAAAAGCACACCACCACATATTTACCATGTCATTTGATTGACCCCCAGTTGACATGTCAGGTCCAAGATGATGGGAAGCGCTCACTGCTCCTGTTTGAATGTAAAACAGGGTTTCAGAGTATACACACATGATTATTGTCACCCTCACATTGGAGGAAACTGAGGAACAAACATATTCATATTTTCAGTTGTTTCCTCTATAGTTATGCACACTGACTTTTTGTAATGTGCTCAATTAACCGTCAGTGTTGTTGTGATTAATCTGATTAACTCCTTCAGATATTTAAGCAGTAAGGGATAAAGTTATTTGTTCGAGGCTACCTGGATAATATGTACTTCTGGGATCAGATGTTCAATAATTCATGTTGCAATAGTATATTCTGTATTACACACAATAAAATATAATAATATATCCTTTTGCATTCAACACAATAGATGAAGTGACCTCAGGTTTACAATTATGTTACACTATGACACAAAAAAACAACAAAGAGCTCTGGAGTGTATATTATTGACTCAGTAGTAGTGGCCATGGTGGTTTTACACAAGTAAAGGTATTTCACTATTAGAACCGTCATCTCATTTATTGAATAGAAACACACATGTACACTATGTTGAGCCAAAAATTGGATATTGATGGATTTTCCATAATTTCATCATTTATTAGAGCCAATTTAACGTCTTGTGAAAACTCCCATCCTTACAATCATTGTCTGTTTTCACAGCCAAGCAATTTTTTCAAGATTATTAGATCGTTATGGTTCCACCTAAAAAATTATAACTGAAACTAAAGTATAATATGCTGAGCCTACCTTTGCAATTTTTGCAAGACTTCCTTTGGTATCCATAGGAAATAAGAAAGGCAATCACAGTCACACAGCAGGCCAACAGCACTCCAAGCACAAGGACAACTGGGTTCAGTTCTGTTTCTGAATCTCCTAAATAAGGAAACAAAGGAATTTGTACTTTTTAGACATACACTGCAACAAAATATCAGTATATTTTTTATTTGAAATCTGAGAAAAGTCATTCTTACGAAGGGATGAGTTTCAAAGGAGGTTCGTTCATCAGTTATAATTCATGTCTCAATAAAATAATTGCTAAGTGTAGTTGTTGTTAATGACTTTATCCACTCTAACTTATCCACTTAATATTTATATACATATAAATACAAATTTCAAATGTAATTTAAATAGACTTTAAAACGTACTTGTCTCCACTGTAGTTCCTTCTCCAAACAGGATCTGTCCACATGTAGCCACAGCACAGTAATACGTCCCGTTATCAGAGGAGTTGTGTATAGTTTTGGACAGACTGAAGACACAACTGCGTTCCTTTTGTTCCTCACTGTGAGTGTAAATGATGCTTGGATGGGATTCTCCTGATCCAGATCTGAACCAGGAAACATTGTGTTCACCTGGACACTGATCTGCGCTTTCGTTGTTTTTGGAGATAAGTGAACACTCCAGAGTCACTGTGTGGCCGGGCTGGACTGACTTGGTCTTTGGACTTTGCTTCACGTAGACAGATTTCCGCTGATCTGCGTGATTCAGTAAAAGAAAACATAACATTTAATATAAATTATTTGTATGACATGAGGCTTGACACAAAAACTGAAAGTAATAGATATTTACCTTTCACAGCCAAGAAGATGCCAATGCCAAAACTCTGTGAATACGTTGATCCAGTGAGACAGGAATATGTTGCTTCGTCCTCTTTTCTGACATTTCTGATTGTGAAAAGATAATGAGTATCCTCTTTTGGTGCTTTTAACCGTGTGTCTAAAAAAGGTTCAGTAACTGTTAGTTTGCCAAGAATCAAGTTAAATACTGGCTGGGCCATTTGTCCAAGAGACTGCTTGTACAGAGAAAGTAGTTTGCCTGCCTGGACAAGAACTGGACATTGAAAAGTAAAATTTCCACCAACTTCTACCACAGCCAAAGAGATCAGGTGAGGATCCTCTGCCGATTCAATCAGAGCTAAAGAAAAAATACAAAGAAAAGGTTTATTGGAGGAGATCATCTTTAAGATCATCAAATGGTATTGTCTTTCATACAGGAGTAAAGAATTGCACTTACACATCGTACAAAGAAGAATCAAAGCAGAATCGTCTCACACGACTGATGTCTTTCCAACCAAATGAAGGTTTGTTCACAAGAAGATCAACGTCTACAAAGTAACAATTGTTGTGATTGGCTGAAATGTATAAAATGACCTCCCCCCTACATTTAAAACCTGTGGACCATTTTCTTTCGATCAGAAATCTCTATGTTCTGAGATTTTCTTTTCTCAAAGAAGCCCCTTTATTTAAACAATAAAATATTGTTTCCGTTTTTGGTGCTTGGCTAAGAAGTACAGGACCTATTTAAAAAGCAAAACCCTGTTGACACATTTTACGAATGTGGTTTTAATCATACCATCATGAGAACCAAAAAACACACACAGAGACATTACTTCAGTGTCACTCTATTCAATAGACCGATGGCTGTGGTTAATAGTTTAACACACCAGGAAAGCAACGTGGGAACATGACGACTGCTAGCTAGCAAATACATCTGTTTTTATCAAGTACATTGCAGATTCCATATGATCACAGAAAACTAATTCTGTAGCTTAATAAGATGTTTGGTTTACATACTGGATATACTTACTGAGCAAAAGCAGTGAGTTGGATGGCTCCACACACCAAATACATTGTTGGAGTTGCTGAATGCTGTATTGTTCACTCTATGTGGGCTAGCTGTTTTGTTCCATAACATTACAATAGCCACAGTGTAGGTGGTAGAAAGCTGTAGGGGAGAGGTGAGAGGAAATATCACCAAAACCAAGAGATGTGAAGAACTTACAGGTTAAAGTATGTGTTGAGATAGTGCTCTCTCTAAGGTAGAGCATTGTCATTTTCTCAAGTTGAACAATATTGTAGAGTATCACTGATTTTTTGTTTTTAAACACCAAAAACTCCCTTGCTTTATTGGCAGTGAACTCCAAAGCATGCCTTCATGTATTTTAGATTTGACTAAGTACTCAACGTTTTTCCTTTTTTGCCCTTATATGATTTTGTGCATCCTGTATTTCTGTAAACTTTATAGTCCTACAACCAGTCTTGACCATTTGTGATTCTCTAATGTTCCCAAATAGATCAGGTTTTAACCCTAACAATTACTTTTTAATAAGAGACATTTCAATCCATTAGAGCAGGATGAGCACAAGCAAAACCAGTAACATAAGGAACTAGGCCATGCCATTTTTTATTGCAAATAACCATGTTATCGTTACACCTGTGGAACATTTCCACTGAGAAAGAAGTGGTGTATAATATTTTACACAGCATACATGTTATGTTTCATTTTTGCAAAGTGCTTTTAAGAGGGAGAGACCGAAACATGGCTGACAAAACACATGGGGAATATTTTGTGATTCACACTCAATTGATATGTATTTGCAAAAGACAATGTTTGTTGTTCTAAATACAAAATAGAAAGTCAGAAGTCAACTACTTAATAGAATTGAGCACTCCACCTTTCAGATCTCACATCCTTTGTAAAGACCTTCTGCTTGAGAACAAGAAGCAAAGCCACATGCAACAGCTACACTGAGAGTCATGCGTTGTGGTGGGCCATCTCTCTACCCTTTGACCAAGCATCAAGGCTGTTACTCAGAACTATGGGCTTCAACAGGATGTGAAGTGAAGTGAGAGCTACATGAGACTCCAGCAGGCTTCATCATTGTTTTAGTTTTATACATGCTCATTTAAAGTAAAAACATGTCTATCTCAAGATTATTTCTAAAGATGCAAAAGCATCTAATTTATAATCTAACTGTATTTATTAATTAAACATTCAAATAGACAGGCTGCCATTAGATCACCAAATGAGATCACGGTTCAAATTCCAGCTCTGACTGAAAGACGGGGGTCGAACCAGGAAATGATGGGCACCTCCCCTGACTAACTGCAACTACAGATAAAAGGCAATAACTTGCAGTAAGGTTAAATTAAAAAGGATCCTCATATAGTGTGACTAGTGGTATTCCACTTGCCATTTGAAACAAAAATAAGTATATCAGCAGTGCAAGCCCAGCTTCCTGAGGTTTATAGAAAGAGAAAGGTACAAGCGCCCCTTTGTATTCACACCTCAGTGTGAAGCCCAACCACAGCCACGCTGAAGTTTCCATGCGTCATCTGGTTGTCAGTGTGAATGCATTTATATCTGACTGTTTGTGTGAAAGTACAAGGCATGTTATGGCTTGTTGTCAATGTCAACAACTGTTGACCCTAAAGAAAGCCACAAACCACAACCTGCTGCTCTGACAAATGTTCTGGAAATGTTGGCCATATAGATAGATAAGCTATTTATATTTCTTATTATATTCTCTATACACCTTTTGAGTTGTCAAGAAACCCTAAATCTTAATAAATAAAAAAAATGCTGCCAGAGTGTGGGGAGTTTTACTGGACTGCATTATCTTGATAGGTGTTCCTTTAATAACTGTAAAAAGTGTAAGAGTGCACAGACACTATAGCGGTACAGGAATGTTTTATGTTAAGCGCCTTGTAAATAGTCGGTTTAATTTATCTGTTTTGTTTCCTTGGTGTACATTGGTTTTCTCTTCCCGGGGAAAAATATACAGGAGAGAAACTTTAAATCGTCTCAGGACAAATGTGTTATCTGAGAGTATCGCTCTGCTTCTTGCTCTCTAAAGCTCTCTGAAAGGAAGTGTATTGTAGAGGACGGATGTTTTAACAGCCCAACTCTGTGCTGTGCTCTTCCTGCTGAAGTGACTGACAGGCAGAGGGGGTGTTCATCATTTATGACGTGGAGCATCCAATTGGCTGGTGTGCACAGTATTTAAGATGGTTCCTCTGTCCTTCTCAATGTGGCAAATGGCAGCTTATATTTTCTATGTCTACACAAATCAAAAAGATAAATGCATGTTTAAATAAATGGCAACAACAATGTGGTGGATAAATCCTAGAGACACAGGCCTATACATTTTTGGATGCATTACAAATTATGCATTTATATTGAAATGTTAATGGTATTAGTACCTTTTTTTATAATGAGTATTCAGCTATTCTAAAAAAATATATGTTTTTGATTAATCATTTTACTATCACTAAAATATGGCAGTTAGCAAATGAGAACGGTTTTGATCACTTCCAAGAATCCCTTTCAGGAATCCAGACACACTTTAAACATGTTGCTACGTCCTTGGAATCTAATCTAATCCCAATTCTGAAAGTGTAAGAGTTAATCATTTGTTACAGAGCGCAGGATCACAGGAAGTTTCAGTTTACATTCCTTTAGTGTGTATGCTTACACATTCATCAAATAAGTGGCAGTTCTTAAACTGGTCTACTTTGGATACATTCATAATGGACTTTTCTGCATTGTTTCACTAATCCACATTTGTTACAGGAGCAACCATTACAAACTGGAGAGATCAAGTTTAAAATACCTAGGCATATTATATCAGGAAACTTATTTAAAAAATGTTGCGTAGTAGGAGATGTAGGAGTGTTTTTCAAAGTTGCTTAAACTTTGAACATCCTTTTTAAAAATCCGTAACTCCCCAAACTGTTTGGTACTATAATACAAAATAATGGAGCAACATTTACCTGCAAATGTATCTTCCTTTATTAGCCAGCATACAAAACATTGCTTTCACATTTCTGTGACCAGGAAATTGGCTTTAAGCGTGTTCTTTTTAGCAATGAATCATGTCAAAACCTAACTGCTGGTGCTGTAATGTGTAATGGGGATTGCCCACAGTATTGAGTGTATGTAAGTTGCTTTGGGTAAGAGCGTGACATGTAATAATGTAATGTAATGAACCAGAAAATGCTAATCATATTTTAAACAGCTTTCTTTTTTATAATTGGCGGAATTATGCACACATTATTATAATTATGTTAATGTTGTTCTCTTCTTAAATTAATCCTGGTAACACAATTGCTCGATGGTCAAAAGTAAACACTATGGTATAGATAAACACACATTTAAGTGGCTTGAAAAGGTATTTGTTTGCTTAGCTCCTCAGACAGCCTATGTTTGTCACTCATGTGTATATCATACTGGACAGTGGCAATATTGCACCCCATCAAAAAATTCCATCTGGACATGAAAAGAAAATCAAGATTGCTTTTCGATTGTTCTGTTGTGTGTGTTTACGCTCTGTGCAGTTAAAGGAAAACAAACATGAAACATAAAAACAGAAGCTTGCTTTTGGTCTTGTTTCATGTGTTTAGGTTGGAACAAAGGGTGATATCATTTCCACTGTGGTGGTACAATGAAATAAGGAAAGGCCAATCAGGTTTCTCTAAAATTGTAGCCTCCCACTTCATATGATTACATTAAGGCGAATCTAATCCAATACGATCTAATTTACCGGCAGCCACAAGTGGATTGACCAGAAAATGCTGATCATAGTTTATTTACTGCTGATGCTTGGAGTGGGGCGTAAGTATCTAGACTTGAGATACATTATATGAATTGCCATGTTCTGATAATGATTCAGCTGTGTGCTAATTATTCTTAATGTATCACAAAGCAATCATCTGTGTGTTTATTATATTTTTCAGGATGCACACACGATCAGATCTTGGAGAAAAAGACTGTTAGTCTTGGGGATGATGTGACTTTGACTTGTTCACGCCAGCAATCCTTGGATCCAACACACATGTTCTGGATCAGGCATGGACCTGGAAACGTCCCTGAAGTCTTGGGAGGAACATTTTCTTTTGATTATAATGGTGATAACAAGACTACTCGCATTACAGCAAAACAAGGGCCTGGAACCTTTCTCCTGCAAATAAGTAAAACAGAGCCAAGCGATACTGGAGTTTACTACTGCCTAAAAGTAAACAAACTTGCCATGACATTTCTGAATGGGACATTTCTGAGAGTTAAAGGTAAATCATTTATACTGTTTATCTTTGTTATTACTCTCTGCTACATAACATAATTGTATTTTA